TAACATTTTCAGTTTTGACTAAATTCAGATAGATACCAATACTTTAAATATTTAAATTTGACAGCAATAAACCAAATTACCAAATAACCTGGTATTTTGTTAGAAAAAATATATAATGGAGATAGCTGTAGATTTGATGAAAATCCAAATTGCTTTGAAATACATGTAGTTATAAAAACATTTAAAGATAACTATCTGAATTTTGTCCAAACTGCAAAATCTAGCTTTTTTTTAATTTTGATTAATTAAGACCAAACTACATAAAGACCTGGGATTTAGTAAGATCAATATACAACTGAGATAGCTGTATAGTTATATGAAAATCCAAGTTAATTTGAAAAAGTAATAAACAAATTTAAAGTTGACTATCTGAATTCAGTCCGACTGAAAATTCTAGCTTATTTTACCTATAAATTAAATCCTCAATTTGACACCAATAAATCAAACTACGAAACAACCTGGCATTCTGTAAGATCAATGTATAATTGAGATAACTGTAGAGTTTTTTGAAAATCCGAGTCGATTAGAAAAAGTTATAGAAATGATTAAAGATGACTATCTGAATTTAATCAAAACTGAAAATTCTTGCTTTTTTTACCTATTAATTAATTTCACAGCAATGAACCAAACTACCAAATAACCTGGAATTGTGTAAGATAAATATTTAATTTAGTTAGATGGGCTGATTCAGACCAGTCAAACTAAATCTGAAGATCAAGACTAGTCGAGACAGGTCGAGACTGGTCGAGCCTTGTTTGAGACCATTTCAGACTACACCAAGATCATCAAGTACTGAATCAGACTTATTAAAGTCGAGACCAAAGTCGAGTTCAATTCAGTACAGTTAAGTACTGTCGAGATAATGTCGAGTCTAGTCGAGTAAAATCTGTGCTCGACTTTACTGGTCGAGCACAAAATATGCTCTTTTCAGACTCTGAGCAGTTTGTAGTGAATCTTACTAATCGTGCTTGTTACAAGTTTACTCTTACGTTCATACTTGTTCTATCACTCACATCTGGTTCACATTTGGAATTTTAATAACTTTAAAAACTTTAAAAGAAGACGTAGATACTCTTTCCGAATGGATGAAGGCTGTGAGGTCGTTGATACAAATCCGAATTAAGAAACTAAATGGGCATATCAATACCCACGCTACGTCAATTTTTAAAGACCCAAATGTTGCAAAACACTTGTCCTACCTCCATGACAAATATGTTGTTGTCCCCGCAGATAAAGCCCCAAACAACATCGTTTTTGTGTGTAAATATCATTACATAGACTGCTTGATAAATGAATTAGGCATTTACAATTCACTTGGAAACTCAACATATACCCTCACGACACTTACCAAAGAGGAAATCCTGGATAGGCATAGGTCTGTTTTATGTTCCTTTGGAATTTCAACCAAGGATGAAGAACTGGATCTTCCATCACTGTATTGGATACCTAAACTACATAAGTGTCCTTACAAACAACGGTATATTGCTGGGTCTTCCAAATGTTCAACGAAACCTCTTTCTAAATTATTAACATCTATTTTATCAGCAATCAAAGCCGGGCTCCAAAGTAATTGTGAAACTGCCTATTCTAGAGGTGGCATGAATCAGATGTGGATACTAAAAAATTCCAAAGATCTTTTAGAGTACATACAATCTAAGACTCTCATCTTGCAATAGTATTAAAACATTTGACTTTTCTACACTTTACACAAATATTCCCCATTCCAAACTCAAAGACAAATTGAAAGAGTTGGTATTACTTTGTTTCATTAAAAGAATGGCGAACGGAGATACAAATATCTTGTCTTGGGGAAGGATAAATCCTACTTTGTAAAGAATCACTCTGATTCAAACACAAAATTCTCTGAAACTGACATTATCAAGATGCTTGATTTCTTGATTGACAACATATTTGTTACGTTTGGAGGACGTGTTTTTCAACAGATTGTCGGAATTCCAATGGGAACCAATTGTGCCCCTCTTCTTGCCGACTTGTTTCTTTATTATTATGAGGCTGACTTCATACAGGAACTTCTTAGGAAGAAGGATAAGAAGTAAGCAATATCCTTTAACTCTACATTCCGCCATATAGAGGATGTTCTGAACTTTCCATTTCTATGTAGCAACATTCCAGCAGCGGCTGCATACGGAGTATATATCTCCCAATTGATACGATATTCCCGGGCTTTCCTATCATGATTTCCTTGATAGAGGACTGCTGCTCACAAGGAAACTATTAAACAAACAGTTCCAAATGGTGATGTTGAAGTCATCCCTTCGTAAATTTTACGGACGCCATCACGAGTTGGTTGACCGTTATGGAATAACCGTTTCACAGATGATATCGGATATGTTCCATATGTCGTAACTACAATACCCTCCCTTTTTACGAATGTGACTTACCGAATTATACTATTTACCGGATTTGTAATAACATAAGCAACACGACGGGTGCCACATGTGGAGCAGGATCTGCATACCCTTCCGGAGCACCTGAGATCACCCCCAGTATGGTCGGGTTCGTGTTGCTTAGTCTTTGGTTTTCTATGTTGTGTCATCTGTACTATTATTTGTCTGTTTGTCTTTTTATTTTTGGCCATGGCGTTGTCAGTTTGTTTTCGATCGATGAGTTTGACTGTCCCTCTGGTATTTTTCGTCCCTCTTTTAAATATTAAATGATTTCCCTAAGATCGACAAAAAACATACAAACGTTTTAACCACACCACATTGTTCGTATTTTATCAGTCAGGCGGTCTTGATCATGTGTTGTTCATTGTTGTTCATTGTTGTATAGTCAGTGTTTGTACATGTACTTCTTTGTTTTGTAGATGAGTGAGTTGTTGGCGGTTGAAGTAGTTTGTTGTATCTTCTAACTTTTTTGCTGATTCCTGTTATTTTTTTTAAACATCACTCAATAGAAAACATTTTTGGAACATATTTTGAAAAAATTTGAATCAAACAGTTTAGTATGGACCTATATTGTATTCAACAACATATTTAGTTCAATGTTTTTGCTATGGTCCGAAAAAGAAGGACATTCTAAATGTATATATGGCATAAAATTTTGGTTAAAAGGGTACGTTGACATTAAATGGGAGCTTTCTCCACACTTATATTTAAAATTACGCGTATGGTGATATAACTCATTAACTATATATAATAAAGACCAGGGTCTTTTGATTTGAGGTCCTTGGTTTCTGACCTTGAAATTGTGTGAAATTGAAGTCAAGGTCATAGGTAAATTTTACGTTCTAGATTTTGATGTTTGCTTTAACTTCATATCTATACATGATAAAGCCATGGGACTTTTTATATTAGGTTGCAAGCCATAAGACCGTGAAAAAACCAACCAGAAATGACCTGTTGTAAACTTGAAGTAGTTATTTTTTGTACTTATTTAATGTAAAAGTACACAGAACAATTTTTTTTTTTTAAGATTAGGTAACCAATACATTGTAGGGTTCTTCAAATGTTCAGAATAAACCTTAAGCTGTGGTGCGGTTATGAAATGATTGTTTAATATATGACCCTCTGTGGAGCGCACGGACTTGAATGTAGAAGAATTTGAAATTTCATTCTCAAGAACGTTTAGTATTTCCGGCATACCATCACCGCGTTGTTGGCTGCTTTGTCGGCCGGTTCAAATCCAAACCGCTTTGGTGAGTACTTGAAGTTTGTTTCTTATTCTAGAATTAGGCGTGTTATGTACTCTTTAATTAGTTATTTCTAAATTATTTTCGAAATGTGATATTCGAATATCCACAAGCTTCATAGATATAAGAAGATGTGGTATGAGTGCCAATGAGACAACTCTCCATCCAAGTCAAAATTTATAAAAGTAAACCATTATAGGTCACAGTACGGTCTTCAACACGGAGCCTTGGCTCACGCCGAACAGTAAGCTATAAAGGGCCCCAAAAAATTACTAGTGTAAAACCATTCAAACGGGAAAACCAACGGTCTAATCTATATAAAAAACGAGAAACGAGAAACACTTATGAACCACATCAACAAACGACAACTACTGAACATCAGATTCCTGACTTAGGACAGGTGCAAACAAATGCAGCGGATTTAAACGTTTTAATGATACCAAACCTTCACCCTTTTTCTGAAACAATAGTGTAACATCACAACATAGAAAGACACACTATAAAATATCAACTGAAATAGCTTAACTCAATCAAAGGACATATTAACACCATTGAACATACACTGAACAAATAAATTTGACCTATGACACAATGTAAATACAAAATAAATACACTAAGGGAAGAATAATAAAAGTAACATATTATATCGGTAAGAAATGTTAAACAATTAAAGAAAAACAATATGCTCGAACAAAAATACCATCCATTTGCAATAACTTTTGATGCCTATCATTGTTTTTAAATCATCAAATGTATAATTTATACGATGTTTAACTCGTTAATTTCGATAATGCGTTTTCCATGAGAACTATTATTACGTTGTCTTTGATCAACAATATTTATGATATCAATAGAAGAAGTTTTAGATTTGTTATTTTGTCCCATTATATTGTCATTTTGACCAAGAGGATATGTTGTCTGCAGTCGTTTAATCCAAGACAGGTTGATAATTTTACGAGAATCTCCAATTTGTTTATGCAATTGTCCTTGTTGTTTCTGGATCGTTTCGAGTGGTTGGAATCTTATAAATTTAATATTGTGATTGTCTTTACCGAAATGTTGGTAAATTATACTTTAGGTTTTCGGAATGCACATTTCTCTTTAACCCCTTATATATATACTTATTTTTCTTTGAATAATTTACATTTTTATCAGACAGTTACATTGGATCATTAGACATGTTCGAATGCCAAGGAGTATTCATTTTAACGTGAACTACACATCAATCTATGCTTATTTGTTTTTTCTGAATAGTCGGACATCACCATATTATCATCATGTACATTAGACAAGAGAATCATTGGTTGTGAATATCTTTTGAATTATGATAATACATAGAAATAAGAAATTATTCAATTAAAGTTTTTTAATGCAATTATCTGGCAAGGAAACATTACAATTTTTATCATTTAGTAATTTATATATTTATGGCCTTTTTGTATTACTGCTCTACTCGATCTGTCCGTTCTATCGTTCCTGTTCCAGAAGTACCAACCATTGGAGCTGAAAATGGAAGATATTATAAAAAGATCACAAACTTTGCATTTCACAAAAGATATCAATAAGCCCTGCTGTATTGTTTTTTTTTTTTACTACTATGCGATATTTTAATGGTTTTGTCATATAAGTGGGCGGTTAAGCTATCTTTGAAACCACGTTAAAATGCCCTGTACCAAGTCAGGAATATGGCAGTTGTTATCACATAGCCCGTTTATATGTATGGTGGTGTTTATTTTTGTAGCAGTTCAGTGTTTCTGTTGTTCCGTTTTGTTTCCTCTTATAGTTGAAGTATTTCCCTCAGTTTTGGTTTGTGACCCGGATTTGTTTCAGTTAAATCGATTTATAACTATTGAACGGTATACTATATAGCTACTATTGCCTTTATTTGTCCCACCATATCTTCGGACATTGCCTGTACCAAGCCAGACATATGACAGTTTTGTTATCACTCGTTCCGTTGATTGATTATGTTTGATTTTGTCAGTTTTTATGGACTTCCCTTCTTTGAATTTACCTTGGAGTACGGTATTTTTGTTATACTTTTTGTCTGCTTAATAGCTATGATATTCAATATACTATTTAAATATCATGGTTATATTTACACGAACACGCATTCATCAATTACTGTTTTTGTATCTTTAAAAACAAGACTATTGTGATAAGATTTTATATTGTCAATTTAATTGACTTGAAGTACCTTAGACATTCAGTGCCATTTTTGTTTAATTTGCAGTAGTTGTTCTCATATAATTAACAACATATTTACGACCAATTACAAAATTTGTGGATTAAAAATATCAAAATTGTATATCTTGTTCCAGTAATTGATGAGAACAGTAATATTCTTGAATATTTGTATCATCCATAATATTGATATACCTTAACCTTTAATAATCATAGTAAATTAATTCATAGAAGCAATAACACACATTATATATACAACTGTTTATCTTTTATATTTTTCAATCCATATAATTAACTGTTAACTATCCGTTATATTCATATTAAAGAATTTTAGTTATATCAAAATACTTTGACGAAAATGTAAACAACGTTATACAGAACATCTGCTAATGTCGTTCGGTTCTATTGGTTTCCTAAATGTCGATTTATCTCAATGGGTACGCATATTCAACATTATAACGGGTTACAATACTCCTTAAACGATAACCATATGCAAGTAATTGTGTGTTATCGGGTTAAATTTGTGTTACCCATGATTTCCCCCCGTCTTGGTGTATTGCATTAATATATATATAAAGGAGATGTGGTAATCAGCTCTTCCAACGTTTTTACAAGGTTTTGGAGTTTCAAATCTTTCGATCTCCTGCATCAAAAAAGAATCATTACTTGTCAAAATGCGCATCTGGTGCATAACAATTTCTACCATTAATGTTATAACACAACCTTAAAATCTAAACACTTATTTTTACAAAGTTAATTACACACCTCTTATTTCGCATCCATTGCAATAACATTTAGAATTTTCGCAGTAACCAGCCGCGCCGTTACACCTTAATCCTACACAACAACCTTCACATGCAATGCTGTTTGGGCGTGCTTTACAAAATCTGTTAGAACAAGTTTGCTGAAATGATTCTTGAATACCTGTAAATAAAGAAAATATTTTTCTTGAAATATGATAATTTTCTGTTGATACGAACCCGGACACTTACTATTGAAACGGTAGAGGGAAACTGGATTAATTTACACAATCACTATATGCTATTTTTATTATTTTAATTTTATGTTTAAAGAACATTTTTTATTGAAAATATAACCTTTTTATATTTAACATAGGTTCAAATAAATTATTTATCCTTTATTCAATTTGCAAATGCATATTTTCCATTTGTTCACATCACAGTCAAAATCAAGGAGAACACAATAAAATCATTGTCTGTATAATCAATAAATTTCACGACCTACAGTTAAAGACAATTTCATTATGCTCAGAAGCTGCATTTGTTACAGTTACTTATATTCTATAAAGTGACAAGTTTAGTAGATAAAAGTTAAATGTTACCTGTAGCTAGGAGAACAAAAGCGAATACAAATACCGTGCTATTCATTCTGAAGAGTATATCTAAAGCATGAAGAAGAAATATTTCATATTAATGTATGCAAAAAGGATAATGAAACATATAATAAATAATAAAGAAGACTGTCTATTCAATGATACCACTGGAAAAAAGTAAAATCACAAACATACTGAACTCCGAGGAAAATTCCAAAAGGAAAGTCCCTAATCAAATGGAAAAATCAAAAGCTCAAACACATCAAACGAATGGATAACAACTGTCATTTTCCTGACTTGGTACAGGCATTTTCTTATGTAGAAAATGGTGGATTGAACCTGGTTTTATAGCTAAACCTCTCATTTGTATGACAGTCGCATCAAATTCCATTATATTGACAACGATGCGTGAACAAAACAAACAGACACAATAGGTAAAAATGTCAAAAATGGTAAACATGTGTTATCATCTTAACCACTATGAAACAAACAAATGTAACAAAGAAGCACAAAAAAGCATACATCAAATTTAACATCCTCATTTTGCTGTTTTATTAAACGATTTTATTTATCTATGTAAAATCCACCCATAAAGGATGGAAGGTTTTAAGTACTGGCGTAGAATCGCACGTTTGACGTCCCACAGTTAGATATAAAATAATTTTGTTGTTCAAAGTATGACGGAAAACATAAGTACAGAGTCACGTTAAATGGATATCATAAAAAAACTGACTTAACAGTAAAAGTAATATTAATAAAGACAAATAAAGTATACTATTTTGCTTACTTTCTTTTGTTACCTATTCTGACATCGGACTCGGACTTCATTTTAAACTGAGTTTTACTGTGCGTACTGCTGTGTGTTTCTTTATTCTACATTGCACTAGTAGCAAGATTTCAGTCTGAAACGGTCATTTTGGTCTGATCAAGTCTGAATCAACTGAATTTACCGCTAGGGAAAAACGTTAAGACTTTTTAAGACTTTCAGACGCTGTTCAGATATGTCGTGTTCAGTCCGTTCATTCATGTCAAGATAAACAAGACAGAAGGCTCTAGCTGTTAAACAAGATATGTTAAGACGGTTTTAGACGAATTCAGACCAAACATAAAAAGTAATGTTCAAAATTTTCAGATCGGGTTAAGATCCGTTTAGTGTGTCAGAATGATATTAGGAGTTACGCCCCTTCATGTGGATGATACATTTTAATTATAAAAAAATTACAATATAAATGCTAGAATGAAAAACGTTTATTTTTAATAATTAAACATAAAATCATTGGTTGACGTTTTATTTCTGTTGGTCTTTTTTTAAGAGATTAGTGATTTTGTTTTGTTGAGGAAATAACTTATTCGCCTATAACTGTTTATGATTTTATTTTATTTTTTATTTTCTGATGTTAATTTATGTATTTATCTACTTATTCTTTGAAAAGAAGTAATTGCAAATTTTAAACGTAACATTATCAAAAGAGTGAAAACACCTTATAAATTTCATGCGTCTGAAGCACGTTTCTGGATTTAACTTCATCGGGAACGATCAACGTAAATACAAATATGTTTTATGTCAGATAATTTATATCGTTAATTTCGTTATCTTTCGATACTTTCCTCTAAAACTTAATAATTACTTCGTGGCATTTAGTAATCATTCCCCGTGCGTGTTATTCTTTTTATATTTGGACAACCGTCTTCTTTTTTTTTTTTTTGCTTTTATTTCGTAGTGATGCGTAGTCACCAAGGCCGCATCAGGGAACCATGTCTCCGAGTGCAGTTAATATTCTGAAAACTGCACTTAGACCGTGACGAGACAATAAAACTATAAATAACATACCATCGGAAAGAAGAAGATGTTGATGGGAGGGGGCGGGGAGGAGGTTACAGAATAGAGAATGAGTGGCAATAAATATAAAGAATAGAGAAAATGGATAAAAAAAAATAAAGAATAGAGAATAATAAGGTGCTTGAATATAAAGAATTGATAATAATAGACAAAAAGTTTAAAGAATAGAGAAAATCGGCATAAAAAATTAAAGAATACAGAAATAAAGGACCCCCTCCAGATCCTCATAGAAGTTTTCGTTAAAACAATACAACCTAATTTAAGTTCAGCATCTAGTATATATCCTTGTAAATGCGTTAATCCTTTCTTTCATTTTAATAACAATTTTATTTAATATAAAATAATTATGTATTTATTTGTTTATTCAAGTTGCACTATAGCAAATAATTCTTCTTCGTCTTTTTCTTCCTATAATAGTAATAAACGTATTCGTTATTTAATATTTTCTGTCAATAAAGATTGAATTCGATGGCACGTGCCACTAATCAAAAATGATCCTTAAACTATCAAAAACTTGGCAATTACAATGGCTATTTCACAATTACATCATATGTACACCTGTCATGGTACACCGTTCATGTATGTGTAATTTAAGGTTCTGACACATTTTATAATACTAGTAGCTTCTTTCTGAACACTATTGACGACATTGTTAAAACTGCACGAACATATCACAAAACCGCAAATTTAGTGGTTAAAAAATAAACGATAATGACAAAAAAATAATTAAAAACTAAAAACAAAACAAAATTCTGTTGGAAGTAGCATATATTTACATGTATAAATTGTCTAGTGCTTTTATTACAGCGGTATACTTGTTTTATACACAGACCATATTCTGATCATATTCTATGCTAAGATATTGACAAGACAGAAGTAAATATGTTAAAAGTCGTTTTAAATCAATTCATTTCACAGCTGAGGCACATGTTCCTTCCTATTGTTGAATGGAGGTTAAATAAATGTGAACAATAAAAAAGATGTATATTTCTTAGGCATGGAGCTAGGCATTTCTGAAGTATCTTTGATAGCATTTTTTTCCTATCAAAAATGTATGCTGGTATATATGTAACTCTAGGTGTTTACCTAAAATGTTATGTATATGTAAAAGTTTAAGATTTTTTTTTAATATTTGCCAAAAAAAAAACATTATCCGGAAAACTATATAATGGCGTTTTGTCCTTTAATTCTTTTTTTGTGATTTTCTAACCTACCTTCTAATTGATACGTTAATCCAAACAGTGCAAGTGTGTAATGCAAACATGCAAAATTCGGCTTTGGTGTATCATGTTAAAACAATACTCATAAATTATGATAATTTTCAATAATTTTAGATAAGATTATGCAAGGAAATGTGTTATTGTTTTCTATTTATCTAGCAAAATTGTATCTTTTTTTACACAAAGATGTCGATAAATAAATTTGATACCCTGCATTTATCATGCATTTTAATAGCATATTGTCAAATTGTTAAAAGATCTCCTCCTTAACAGGGAATCCGTTAGTATTGAAAGTCCCTGTCCAAAATTATTGAATTTGTCATTCTGCATTGACAATATTCAATTTATCTTGGTGTAAGTAATACGCACTCATTCGGGCTAACGCCCTTAATGTGTATCTAATACATATTATTTTCTCCGTCGTTTCACCCCTCAGATAATAAAGTTTTTTCTTAACTAGATATCGTAGAAAAACCAAACACAGTATAGGGTTGTGCGTTCGCTACAAGATCGCCTTGAATTTAACATGTTCAACATAAATATATACAATCAGCCATGCAAAAAGGCATAACATTTGTGTCAACTAATTCTGCCTCTTTAAAGGTCAAATGAAAGTTAGTCATTTCACTCTACTATGGAATGAAATGAACGAGAGAACTTTTGACGTGGTATAGTTATAATATAACTGTTCTTTATACTTATACTTAGTTTGTACTGCAAGCCGAAAAATCCACTTTACTCTCTGGATGTCTCTTGGTTTTTGTTTTTGTTTTTGGTTTGTTTGCTATATTATTGACGTAAATAAAACCGACAACTCCTTTTATTCAGATATATAATTTGAGTTCTGTAAATTTCTAGACGTACGTAAGAATGAAAGACGAAAATGCAGGTTTCATAAATGGTCATCAAAGAGCGACACAATTAAAAACAAATAAAAATATAGTTATTACAGCTACAGTCAATTTTTTTTCTCTATTAAAACATATTTGATACTTTTTGCGCTATTGTCATATATCAAAAAAAATCTAACATTTCCATAAGCTTTCTGTGATTTCCCCGATTCACCATTATGATGTCATGCCACTTGCTATATGGATTCAGAAAACAAATTTACGAAATCTATGACCACACAATTGTAACTGTTCCTATCTTTATTAACAAAATTTAGCGTAAATATTTACAACTATAAAAATTAGTAACAGTGGTGTTCTATTCTGCCCGGAAAACAATGCGGACTAAATATGTGTACAGTGCACGTGGCGGATCCAGTCTTTTTAAATGGGGGTTCCCAACCAAGGATAAAGGGAGGGGATCCAACCGTATGTCCTTATTAACAAAAGGGGGTCAAAAATCCGCCCCCCCCCCCCCCCCCCCCCCATCCGCCACTGTGTGTACCACTGACATTAAATTTTACAAATATGCAAATCGATACTTGTTCTGTTAGGACATTTTACAATTTTATATAATAGAAGTAGGTGAATTATACAGCAGACATATTGGTTTTCTTGGTTTAGATAGAGGAATTGTCTACCCCCGATCAATAATCTCATTAAATTGTACAGATGTGCATACGTATTAGTCTAAAATATAATCTTTCATCTTATCAAATTTGAATCTCATGATTTTTGTAAAAAGGCGGAATTAAATTTCCAAAGTGATATTCAAACTTATTATTCAAAGACAAACTGACAACGCCATGGCAAAATAAAAAAAAGTCAAAATGACAAACTGTACAGATATGCTAACTTAGAATATATAGAACATACTTTATGACTTCATAACCATAGAAAGACAACGAAAGATCATATCATAAACAAAATTGTATTGAAAGGTCAATGATGAGAAAATTTTAACATTTGTTATACCTAGTACTTCATAATCTTTTTCTGAAAAGTTTTGTCGTCCTGAATATGCATGAAATGTTTGCCACTGGATGTTAAGCAACCAACAATCAATTAATCTTTTGCTCTAAAAAATTAATTAAACAATATAAGCCACAATTGTATCCA